AATCAATAGCGCCTTTGATAGCAGTAGTGAAAACCTCGCCAAGTTCGTCTACCGAGCTCTGGCAAAGGGAAAATTGATGATTAGGCTATGGCTCTGATAAGGCGTCGGCAATCGCCTGGGGCTTCTTTTTATAGTTCGCTTTCTCTGAAACTATCAGGCCTATCGAAAAGTGATATCTATATAGTTTAATTAGAATTTCATTGGCTTTCATTTAAGTGGATCCACTCTTTTTTTAAGCTGAATAACGGTAAATTGCAAATATGTACATATCTCGAAAACGTATTCGTATCCATTTCACTAAACAATTCTACATACGAATTAGATAGTGGCATCCATAGAATATTTTTGCTGTAAGCCAGTGTAATCTAATGCATTTTCCAAAAATTACATTTTAAAATCGACTGGCAACTCTAATGTACAATTTAAACCACCGCTAAAACAAAAGCGGAAATTTCCTCTACCCACCCACTAGTATGGAACACACTGCCTATTGCATACATATGTATGTATGTATGTACATACATACACACAACGCCGAATCACATTAGCAAAGCATACAATCAAAAACAAACCTAAACACGAACTACAATTACAAAAGGAAGCCGGCAAATTGAGGCAAATGCTGCGCACAAAAGAAAATGCAAAACAGCTGCTGCTAACTCATCTGCTCCCCACCACTTGGTGCCCCAAGCACACCGTATGCCACTCTCTTTGCTCACAAACTCACGTTGTTGTAGAACTCGAAGTAATACGAAGCAATTTTACATCTGTAATGTTGTGGCCAAACGAATGAACAAACAGGTATGTATGTTGTGTAACGATATATACGTACATACATTCATATATACATATGGACATACATATATATATTAGGGTGCCCATCGAAAATGCTTTTTTTCGGTAATTTCAAGACCCCACACCCAATTTTATTAACCTTCGGAGGACACACCTTTTTTATTTGACGTGAACGACACACTGGGGTAAATTGCACCCCAATGGAAAGGTTGCTTTTAAAACACACAGCTTAAGCTTTTTTGCATATATTACGCTGGAAATATTTAGATAAAATAAATTTAAAATTAAATGTCTTATTGAATTTTTCAAAGGTACAAGATCATACAGGTAACGGTATATTTCCACATATTAGAAGTAAACAAACCACAACCCAGTAAACATTGTGTGGGGTGTCTTACACCCCAGTGTGTCTTTCGAAGGTTAATTTTTATGAGAAATATTATTGCCTATTTTTATAGATTTTTTAAAGGTCATTTAGAGGTCGCGACCTGACGATTTATAATTTTTTGAATTACTATTTTTGCTTCGATTTCAAAGAGCGAATATGATCTGATCATTTTCCAAAAAAAGCAATTTCGAGGGGCACCCTAATATATACGTATAAATATATACATACATACTTACATGCATACATATATTCCAACAAAGAGAAAATTACATTTTGGGCTCCCTTAGCTCCAACCGAAATAAAAAAAATTTACATTGCGAGAGAGAGCGCCAAAAACGAGTTGCGAAGATGAAGAATGTGATTTCGGATCATAACAAAACTAGCACAAACAAACGCAAATGGGGCTGGAAAAAGGCAGGGAAAAGGAAGCCAAACACGTTTTACAGGCCCGACATATATCTATATTTGTGTATGCATGCATACTTATGTACATATGTATCTATGTATGTTTGGCTACATCGACGAATGCCGCTTGTTGGAACCTTCATAACATAGCATTTGAAATTCAGACACATGAAAATATTTGGATATCTTGTGTGTTTGTATGTACACTTAATATGTACATATGTATGTATGTATGTAAATTCAAAATACAAACAGCTAAGCCAGTGAAGTCAGAGCGCGGCACAGTGGAGCCTACACATGTAAAATCTTTCAAATTTGAAACCTCGAATTTAATAATGATTTGCTGATATTGAAGAAGGTATGTAGGTATCTAAGTACAAATATTTGTACATACATACATACTTACGTGCATATCTATGTGCGATTCTTAATTGAACACGGATGATAGCTGATAGATTGTAGAAGTTCATGGCTATACCAAGCAGAGAAGCATGAATGAAAGGAGGATCAGGATCTGAAGATGCCTACGATTGCTAAACGGATAACCAAATTAGAAAATAGAGCTGAAGGATGCGTCTATTCGGAACAGTTATCAATACAATTGTCTTTCCACCCATCTGATCATTGTATTGCTTTTAATGCCCAATAAGCGGCCAAAAAATAAGGAGTCGATTGCCTTGAAGTAGCTGTTGACGCTATTAACAACATCTAAATAAAACAACAAAATTTGTAGAAATTATATTTTTTTATTTCATCCCGCTTTTTAGTCTATGGAACTTACTTATGTAGTATATGACACATAAAATTCATTAAAAGCCTACCACGACTCCTCTGGCAACACAGGATGTGCGTATTAAAATTTTCTAGTAGTTTTCGGAATAGTTCGCGCTTTATATCATTTATAGCGCGTATGATTTCGTTCTGCAGCGGTGAAATCGTCTTGGGCTTACCGGCATAGACCATACTTATCACGTCAAATCGTAAAATCTCGGCGGCTATTTGACCTCGCTGTTTCGTGAGATAATGTATGTATACTGGAAGCCTTTGGTTGATGCGTTGAGTGGCAATGGCACCAACCTGTTGAAACCACATAGTGTCCAAGTCCATGTCAAATAAGTCAGGTCATAAAAAAAATTGTTATCATATCACGATAACGTTCACCGTTTAAGTACGGCCCAATGACTCCGGCATCTCAAAAATCACACCAGCCAAAGACTCTTTGTGGATGCATAAATTTTCTTGAATGATCTGTGGATTTTCAGTACCCCAAATGTGGCAGGTTAGCATGTTAACATATCCGTTTAGGCCGGTCAGAACGAGCAGCCCCTTGAGCTTAGTCTGACTCACCTTCATGCGAATTTTTTTCATGTATGACGAATGTCAATAACTATTATTTTTTAAAGGTAAGCGATGTTTACCATTAAAGGGCTAAAGACTATGTTTACCATTCAGGGGTTAAGCAACACAGTTTTTAACCGAAAATCAGTTTTACCCGTTTTATTAAACAACGCTGATCAACTGTAAATATTTTATATATAAACTCGAAAATGTTGTTTTACTGTAATGTCAATCAACTAAGCAAATTATAGTCAGAGTCCAGTTCTCTTCCACTGTTGCTGTTAGTTACTCTTCAACTCATTAAGGATTCGTATGTATATACATACACACTTACATATCTATGTATATAAGAATGTGTGCATGTACATCTGTATGTGTACTTGACAAACCCTGTAGCAAAATTTAGAAAGAGACTGGAAAAACTTTAGTTCCACACTACCCAATTCTGAGCCGCCTCCGAACTACTGTAAACCGAATGCAAACCAGCACAATTGAAACGCGCGTTTTGTTTAGTTGCGACTCAAAATCGAGTCTTCTTAGCGCGCACCCGTGGAAGCAAAAAGCGCCTCTACTTATGATTGCGTACATTTGTATATACATTCTAATGGAAGAGTCAAAAAAGGTTCGCCTTTTTATTGCCGACAAAAATTGTCCTCAAACAGTCTTCTATGCGACTCGTTAATGTCTTGAGAATGCTATAAACTACTAAAAAATCTTTCAAATGCTATCTTGGAAGTATCTTATATGTTCTAGTAATGCGAATGTGAAAGCTGAGAAGTAGATGTACCCACTTATTCTCACTTTTCGTATGTTACGAAAGTAACCTCGAGGGTAGACCGCCACTGCTTACAATGGCGGGAGGATGTTGTCTTTACTGGGCTCCGAGCAAACCGGCGTTACGGGGCAACGAACAGGCCGACAGACTGGCCTAAGAAGGCGCCTTGTCGGCAGCCCTGCTGACGGAAGAGGTGCCGATTTCCCACAAGCGATCAAACGGGAGCCCACGTTTCGGCAGGCTCTAAATGTTTCTTCCCTCTCGCTAGCCTACTGGTTGTTGTACAAAAGGGCTCACACGTCTTTAAGTTGACCCAGACCAATGATAAAATTTGCAAGAGATGCGAAACGCATAAGCACACAGTGGAACACATCCTCTGTGAATGTCCCGCATTTAGAAGACCACGGATTAGTTTTACGGGAGAAGATTTTCCACCGAATACAGAGACAACTGTTGAAATGGGTATAAGCAACTGTTTCACTTTGCCAAGAGACCTGCGATGTTCTTCAACAAGACCTACTGGTCTTCCGAGATTAGCTATGTAATTTGGTCATATCCGATGTTTTTTGGTTACGCTATCAACCTTCATGGTCTCTGTGAAGTCACTTAAATAGTGGCTACGCTGCCTAACCTAACCTCACCTAGATCGGGCGTCAGCACCGTTAACTTTTTAGTTAGCTCGGAGTTAGTTCTGAATCAGTTCGATTTTCTGCAGGGAAGCCTTTATATTGCATTACATGGCAAAACTCTGTAATATTAAAGAATCCGTCGAGTACGAGTTTTGCTGCGGATTGAAACCAGCTAAGGCTTAGCCAAAGGGGAGCTAAAGTCAACTCGTAGCAGAATGAGTTGGCCGCATAAGTATGTATGTACATACATATATATTGGGTAGCTGATGTGATTGTTGTTGTTGGTACTGTTGGCTACTGTTAATAAACCTGATGGTAGCCATAGTGCTGCGAATGGTGTTGGCGCTGCTGCATAGCTGATGTTTTTGCGATGGTGATGGTATCCCTTCGCTTTTACACCAACAAAGCAGCAGCCCTGCCATACAACATTTTTTCCGCATTCGCGCTGCTGTTGCTGTTGCTGTTTTTGCTCTCTGCCTTTGGTGTTGCTGCGCATGTTTGTTGTGCTCCTTCATGCTCAACAACTCCTTCTGCTGTGTTCAAATGCACGTGTATGCGTGTGCGTGTGCGTGTGTGTGTTTGTATGTTTGTTTGCGCTGCTCTTATTTATGTTCGTGCAAATGTGTTTCGCACAGCAGTGGGGTTGTTTGGTTAATTCGCAAAACTTGCATTTCGTACGCCAACAGAACAGAATAGCGCCAGGCGACAGCCGACAACCGACGCAGCAGCAAGTCAAACGCGCTGGATGGATGGAGTCTTGTTCAGGCAGAGTCAAGTTTACTCAGTCAATTGTCGAGTCAGTTTAAGTTTGGCAACGTTCGTAGTTGGACGTGTGTTTTTGTGTAACGGAATGTTAGGGCAACTGCGCCGCGCTCAACCACAGTTTGGAATGTTGACACTCTGTTTGATTTCGTTAAATACCTACTAAATGTATAAGATACAAATTGTAAATTTTGTGTGTGGATTTGAATAATTATTCTAAAGTGCGCTTTTAAATGCTAGTGGCAGTGTAACGCCATTTGCCATTGAATTCGATAAACGCTGTGTGGTGTGGTGGTGACGCAGCGTAAAAAGGTGTTGCAAGACATTGGTAGCAACAGCCACCGAGCGAGTTATGTACGTACTATAAAGTGAGTGCGCCAGTTAAGTTGACGAGCGAGTAACAACATTTGAAAATACATTGAAACCGGTTTGTTTGTCTTTTGGTATGTTTGTTTTGTTTTTGCTTTGCGGCTCAAAGCAGCTAGCAGCACTGTGAGTCGTTTGAACGGTTTTGTGGAAATTTTTTTTTTCGGGTGAGTGTGAGTGTGTGCGCCGCACCAAAAGAATGCGGTGTTGAAAAAAAAATGTAATGGAAAATGTAGCAAAACAAGAAATATTTAAATGTTGAAAAATTCCTTTTGCATAAAATATGCAGCGAATGTCGTATACAAATATAAAATTTCGTGCATAAAAAATTGCCGTACTGGAATGTGTAATGAAAACATAAAAAAAAACATTAAGTAGAAGCAGATAGTTGTGCGTGAGCAGTAATTCGCGAAAAAAATATTTGTACAAAAAATACTTTTCACCGCTCGAAAATAATAGCACAAGAGCTCAATTGAACAAAAAATAATTAAAATTCTTCTCAACATTACAAGCTTATTTATACACATACAATACCATACCATGGAGTAAATAACGGCTAATGACGCAGCAAATTAAATTTTTTTTTTTAAGGAAAATTAAAAAAGTGTTCCAATCGCTCAAACAGCTCTAAATCACCACAGAAGCAGTGTTTTGCCTGCACTTCAAGGTAAAAAATCCCAGCAAGCCAATTTTTATTGCAGCCTGCATGTGACTGACTGATATTTTAAGAGCTGAGAAACTTATTAGACTCAATGAAACATTTTAAATAGAGAGATACTGCAAAACTCGCACATGATATCTACGAGTATCAATTGTACATAAATGCAAAGCTAAAAGATTAAAGGAAATGCTCCAAGGAAAATGCCACAACTCCGTGCAGCTTAGCTAATAATTTTCAATACGCCCTTTACTTAATGCCAATGAAGTGCACAAATAGAATGCACAACGCTAATAAATTCAATTCAATGCAGCATGCGCAGCACGCCCACGCAACGCAGAATCGCCACGCATCATTGGCAGACAAACAAACACACCCGTAGTGCATTGACTGCCATATCGCGCATAGTAATTGAAGCGAAGCCACGGAAATAATCCTATCAGCAAGCGAACGGTAAATACACACACACACACAGGCATTAGCAAATCAAGCAACTAACGCAAACAAGTCACCAACTAGTATTAACGTACATAAACGTCCGTCCGTCCATGCGCGCGCTGTTTGCATTGGCAAGTTATTACAGCGACCAGAACAACAACAGCAGCAACAACAACTAATATCCGAACTACTGCTGGGCGGCAGCTCAATCACGGAAGTAACAAACGCAAAACGCGCTCCTTCTACTTCCGCGCCAAGCGTCTCCACATCCGTTTGCTGCTGTGCTGCTGTCCTGTTAGACTCGCGCGCCAGCTAGCGCATAGCGAGAAGGAGTAATCGAAAAGAAAAAAAAAACAAAGCAAAAAAAAACACACACGATAGGTGGCTCCAAAAATAACGCTTGCCAACGCGGCCAAAGAAGAAAGTATAGCAACAAAACGCGCAAAGTCTGTACAAACTTGCATTAAGTGTCAGCGTGTTGGCCACGGCCAGGTCGTTGGAAGTAGCGTTAAAAATCCCATAGCCTCGCCACGCATACATACAAACACAGTTTGGCCGGAAACCGCGAAAACTAAACTAATTTTCAGCTTACGCAAAAGTCTCCCACAGCGCGCGTCGTCACATTTTTCTTACTCAATGTTTCCTGTTGCCGCTGAGACGACCGCAAATACCACCACAACTAGCAACGCTTGCATGCATTTCTTTCTAGCGAAGAGCGAATAGGCGGCGGAGTGTTGCATAGTTAGGACGGACAGCCAGCAAGTTACAGAGTTAGAAAGTGTTGCACACTGGTAGGTAATTGTGGCAGTTGCGCCCACACATACACACACAAGCGACTGTTTTATCAGTACAAGTACACGCGATCGCAGCGTAACTAACTAAAACTAAAAAAAAAAATATGTACTTGAATTAACAAAAACAACAGCAAACTACAAAACCAACAACTTGAGCGAAATAATTCAACGCCAATGACATCATAAGTACTGGCAATGCAACAAGAAGGACTCGCCCCATACAAGGCTGCAACTGTTTAAATGTGCACACATCTATGTACTTAGTATATATTATACGTAGCTACATAGTTAGTAAGTAGTCAAGTGTGTGCAGTTGTAAAAACAAAAACTAAAAACTGAAAACAAAAAAAAAAACAAAAATTTAAGTGCCGCCAGCTCTTCTATACTTACTTACTTCTAAGCACTTGAAGAGCAACGCCTCATAAGGTCCACCGTAGCGTCCAACGCAGCACTTTGAACACTTTCGCGCAGCCAGTTAGCTCGTCCATTCGCTGGTCGTCCGTTTTGGTCATAATGTCGTAATAACTGTCACCACTGTTTGGTTAAGTGCGAACCAGCTACATACATAGAGCAAAAAACATATGTACGTATGTACTGAAAAGCGGCGGCCACGGTGTCTAAGCGCCACCATTTAAGGACGCGTAATGTAGCCCAAGCAACGTAACGCACTAAGCACAACTCAAGTGTTGAAATGCTATAAAGAAGCTGAACCGAGTCCAGGGCACAAGTCAAGCAGCCAAGCAGGCAGACAGGCAGGCAGGCAGGCGGCCGGCTTCAAAAAGGAAAGTCATCGTTAGTGGGTGCTATTGCATTTGCTTCATTTTTTTTTAATTTGACGGAAATTGTGTTGAATTAGTGTGTGCGGCATAAACGACCGAGCAGCTGAAAAAGAAGAAGAAAATATATATGTAAATACATATACCCACATCTATAAAATATACAAGTACTTACGTGTAATAATAAAATATTTTAGTTTAGTGTTAGTTCAATGTGCCACCCTCTGTGAACAGTGCTATATTACAAGTGCGAAACCCCCATTGTGTGTGTGTTTGAGTCTCATATAAGAAGGCAGATACCCTACCCAGGGTCTATCGAATAATCAAACATAAATACATACATAGTAGGTACATAGTGCACGCGTGAGATACTTGAAAGTTATAAGCAAGTCGGGCAGACTCGTTGGAAGTGCTGAAGTGCGAATACGTAAGCAAATAACTCTATATAGTAGTTAAAGTGCTTCATACATACAAATGTACATCCCAGCGACACCGATAGTCGGTCAGCAGTCAGTCAGTAAAGTCAGTTAGTCAGCGGATACGACTCTTAATGAAAATCTAATTTATGCGCACCGGATTGAAGTGGTCATCTATCTCTGCAGCAGGCGATTTTTGCTGACTTTTATTATTTTTCTTCATTTTTTTTTATATCATTTGGTTTACTTGGTGCGGTACGGAGCGGAGCGAAACGAAACGTTAAATGTGGATTTGCAGGTCAGTAGGAATAAAATGTAATTAAAATGTTATTAATATACGCATACATATTTATGTACATTTATAGATTTATATATAGTACATGCTAATAAATATTTTACTAGTATAAAAATGCATACACATATACAGTATCGGTCATATCTATAGCACGCCATTTCAAAGTGATATTGTGTACCACTTATGTTTATTTATTTATTTTTAAGAATTTTCAATTAAAATATAGTTCTTTTTCTAACAAAACCCATATAAACCCAAGTTTAAAAATTTTCACCTAAATGTCAAACTTTTTTCTCGGCGGTGTTTGAATTTTTCTGAATACAAAGTTTTATGTATAGCCCAATCAATTTTAGTCTGATAATGTGCAAGTTTCAAGTGGCTAAAAGTAACGGTTGATTTTTTAGATTTTTTTTCGGCAAATAAATTGAGTTTATTCACTATATGGAAGCCAATGCAACAAAAAAATTCGAGAAAATTAACGGTAATTCGTAGCCACTTGAAATGTGCACATTATCAGACTAAAATTGCAGGGGCTAAAAAACTGTGTACTCAACAAATTCTAACACTCCTGAGAAAAAAGTTTGAAATTTAGATGCACTTTTTTGTAGTTTTCTACAAATTGTTAAACTTGGGTATATATGAGGTTTGTCTGAGAATGAACTAAATTTTGATTGAAAATTCTTAAAAATAAATAAGTAATCATAAGTGGCACACAATATCACTCTGAAATGGCGTGCTATAGATATGACCGATACTGTATGTATACAAAAATTATGCACTTGTAGATTTTAAAGCATTTTGATAGTTCAAGGCGTGGTTTGATTAACGGACGACTTTTATCATGAACGTCTCACGAACGTCTCCTAAAACCTTACAAATGTAGCTAAACTGAGCCGGTAGTTTAACGTTACTGTTAAGTATTTTCCAAAAGAGTCAATAAATAATTGTTATTTTTTACCAATTCGTTTTCAGTCAAAGATAAGAGTTCACTTTTGACTTTTAGTTTTTCGGTCAAAAAGAAAAGTTAAAATTTGACTTTTATTTTTTTCGGTCAATAATAAAAGTTAAAAATTGATTTTTATTTTTTTTTGGTGAAAAATAAAAGTTAAAATTAAATTAAAATTTAAGTCAAATATAAAAGTTAAAATTTTACTTTTATTTTTTCGGTCAAATATTAAATTTAAAATTTTACTTTAATTATTTATAATATTGTTATTGAGATTTGTACCACGACAATGTTTATTAGGAAAAATGAAAAGAGCAACAAAGTCTAAGCGGTAGAAGTTATAGCAGCAATTTTAGCGGCTATTTTTTACCATAATTAAAAGTCAGATTTTAAGTTTTGTATTTGACAAAAAAATAAAAATAAAAATCAGATTTTAACATTTATATTTGACCAAATAACAAAAAGTATTTTTATATTTGATCGCTAAAATTTAACTTTATTTTTTATTGAAGAAATATACATAGGTAAAAAATAGGAACGGTAGACTTCCGGTTATCCGGCTATCCGGCCGGATTTTAGCCAATATCTGAATTTCAATTATAGAAGATTGAGTTTAGAAATCTAGTTATTGTTCGAGTCCGGCTCTTAGTTTTTACGTGGTGTCCGGAATTCGGACATCGGGCAAAATCTCTTTCCGGCACATTCCTAGTAAAGACAAACGAATGATTGCCGACTTTTTTGAAAAAAGTCCAAAAAATTTAAATCATATAGGATTAATATTCCTTAGTGAACAAGCATCACATTGCTGTATGTATATAAAAGTTAAATATACAGGTTTTACCCGACTAACGTTTTGAATTGAAATTTCGAAAATAACTATTATTTGCGACCCCTGATATGTACACGTTTATTTGTAACTAATACCTGCACATATACGTATTTTCTGACATTTGAAAGAACAACTTATGTAAGTTTATCTTTAACGAAGAAATTTTTTTTTGTCGCGGGATAGATAATTTGCTGGTTTTTGAATAATTCGCCCCTGCGTACAAAAATAGAAGTATCGAATTAAGTTTAATCTCTCTGTGGGGCTTACACTCCAACGAGGTAAAATTACATCGGTAGCCTAGGTAGCGAACCAGAAAAGCCAAATCCGCCCTATTGAGCCTCTAAGGCCGCGGTGGGGAAACGATGGGATCTGAGAACCGCGCTCTAGAAAAGTGCACTCATACTAAGGAGCAAAATGAATACGGTACAGATGGCTGCCGCCATGCTAATCACAGGAACCCTACCCTCTACTCTCAGTGAGGCACTAGAGAAATTTATACTAAATCCAATAGATCAAATTGGCGCCACTTGCCATCTTTTGCTGGCGATTTCTATGAATTTTTCATTCAATAGTGTTTCACATGTTTGAAGAGGGATCCCAATTTCGTCAGCTTTGCTATTTCCCTTATTGTCGGAATGGTCAGGGACCCTGACGATGTGTGTGCGAAATGCTTCAACCATCTCGTTTACAGATCGGCGACATTGATCAACTACTCTGGAAGTCAGCGACATTTTTTCCAGCTATTTATTAGCCGCCTTATCTACTTACTGTCGTATTTCCTGAAATTTCGACAAAAAAAATTACTTAAAATACCCTTTTTGTATCTTTCTCGAACACTTTTATATTGTCAAAGCGATTTTTTCACCCTCTATTTTAAGTTTCCTCTACATTTTTACAAACACAAAGCCGGACTTGAATTTATCAAGCATGCCTGCATACATGCATACATAGTTAGGTACATACATACATACATACATACTTATGTACAACTATAAAACCAAAACAATAGCCGACGCTTTCTCCGCTAAAGTGGATTCTGACTTTCTCGCCAGCCAAGGTCATTAAAATGAACTGCTGTTTAGTTTTATCTGCTATTATAATCTAAAGCACCTAATAAAATAGTAGTTTCTTGTGGTTGATAAATGTAGAAGATAGTAAATTTCGTAAGAGAAAAAGCAAAAAACTAAAACAGTGGCGATGTTCCACTTGGACATACATACATATGTAGGTACTTTGGGTATTACTAAACATTTGGATTCAAGTTTTATTTTTTTCTTTCTGCATCCAATGATCTTTTGTGTGCTTTAAGCATACTCACACATACCCAAAATCTTTATTAAACACCTTTTTATGTGCATCTGAATATACGTAATTTCAGTATAAGCGCATTAAAAACTGCCTTTTAAAATGAATTGAGTAACCTTACCTATGAGCTTAGACACATTTCAACAGAACTCTTAAGGTGATTCATAAATGTCCCACTAAGTAATGCTTAAATGAATTTCTTCTCACCTTTTCCAATTGATTTATAGTGCTGTGGTGAACTTGATAGTTAAAAGCTAGTATGCTTGAAATAGTGATTTTGTACTTTTTTGTGTTTGCTATGAGTTGGTGGTTTCGAAATACATATGTACACATTTTTCTGCGCTACTAAATTTTTTAGCTATTCTCTTTTCATCTGTTTAAGATGTCTATGCATCTACATATGTATTAGTTCATCTAAAATATGAGTCATGTCATGAGTTTGTTAAATATGATTAACATCTTTACTCTGTATTATCTAACAAGCTTTGAGTCAATGTTACAAATATTTTAGCTTTGTGGAAACGAAAATATGTGTATGTACTTCAAAGTTGGCGTCATGGCTGCCGATTTTTATTTGGCAATATTCCGTTGTTTTCAAACACTTTGAGGCAGAGCCAAAGCACAAAATGCCAATGTTTAATATAATGGAAAAAAACGGTATTCTTCAAGTTCTAATAACAAACAGGTGGGAATGTCAATCGTAAAGTTTACTTAGAGATTTTTGTAGGCGAAAGACGAAAAGGAAGAATTTATCATCTCGCCCGAAATTACATTCAACGTGGCCACCACACAGCTTCTGTGATGGTGTTCAAAAAGACTTCGCTCCAGCTCATAAGGAAATTCCGAACTCAATTTCTACGACTGGTTGGCCATCTGGTAGCTCAGATCTCAATCGCTTGGACTATGTATTATAGTCCATACTGGAGGCCATGACTTGCATAACTCGACATTCAAGTGTCGAGCCTTTGAGGAGCGCCGTTTTTCGAGCAGTTGTCTATTTTCCTATGCATGAGTTGCATTCTATAAATGGCCAAATCGACTCCGCCCCAGCTGGAGGACAAACGGAGGCCTTGTCGGATATGGTGCTCTACAGTGTTTAGCCATTGGATTATACAATACATAGAAAAACATTTGCTAAAAAATATTCACTCGTTAAAAGTTATTTCTTTCAAAAAGTTAAATATAATGATTTTGCACTCGTGCCGGGCCGGGCCTGAAAATTTAAGCCTGTGCCCATCTCTAATTCAACCTCAACATATGAAAGCACATTTACATGCGTGGCTGTAGCTGAGTGTGCAAAGATGCTTGATACAATTGGTTGCT